TGCCTCCGGCCTCAGTAACACGCAGCTCTGGGCGTTCCCAGTGTGCAGGCTGCCTCCGGCCTCAGTAACACGCAGCTCTGGGCGTTCCCAGTGTGGTGCTTGTGGGCTCTCAGACTTAAATGGACATTAAGACAGTAAAAATTTCAAACACAGGAATAGTGTTAAGATTCCTATCTTGGTGGATGAAATGCAGTGGGGTCTTAACAGGTCCACCTCATGACATTACATATTGACATGAAAAGTCCACACAAAAAAATCCTTTGGAAAAGTGTTATATCCTTGCTTCATCACACATTTCTCTTTAGAGAAAAAAAGAGTGGACATAAATTGGTGCTTCTTATCTTCATATATCTCACGAAGAATCCAAACCACCTCGTACAATCTGATTAAGTCTTGTTCACTGTATGTAAGATTAAAATTAAGTTTTGCAGTAAATGTTCATTTACCTACCATGATACCTGCTATCATTTTAATTTCTGTATCCAAACATTTATTTGGAACAATAAACATTTATTATTTGTTAGCATGCAGTTTCTTACAAAAGTATTCACACCCTTCCTATGATGTCCCATTTTGTGAAATTATATATTTTTTTCATAGACTGTAGTTTTTCAAACATGCACTGTGATGGACTGGCGTCCTGCCCGCACTGTATCCTGGATACAGTTAGAATATTGATGGATTCAAACACTGAATGCACAAATTGAAGACTTCAAAGGGTAAGAAAGGTTACAGTAAATGTCAGCAAAAACCAAAGCAAAAATAAAAATAAATATGTCCAACGCATACGTATTCAGACCCATGAACTCCTTGGCACAATTAGGGTACATCGCTAACCAGTCTTTTAGAGTAAGTCTCTACCAACTTTGCCCACTCGATTGGTACAATTTTGCCTTTTCTTCTTGGTATATTTGCTCAATTTCCCTCAAGTTGCTTGAGGATTGCTTATGGGTGCAAGTTTTCAAGTTTTTCCACAGAAACTCTATATGAAGTCAGTACTGGGCCACTTGAAGATATTCACTTCTTTATTCTAAAGACACTCCAGCGCAACTTTGGCTTTGTTCTTCTGATCTTTATCTTGTGGAAAGGTGAAATGTTCTCCTTGTTTTAGGTCTGAAGCAGATTGTCCTCTAAGATTTGTCAGTATTTACTGTAACTCCATCTATGTTCCTATCCGTCTTGAAAAGCTTGCCATGGTTCTGACTGAGTGATGCACTATGTTCCCGTCAGATGTAACGCTTTGCATTTAGACCATAATGCTTCAAGATTGTCTAGTCTGAGCCCAGAGCCCTTTGTCACATATTTGCAGTTTTACCTACAGTAGGTGCAATCCACATCTAGGATGTGAGATGTTTTTTCTTCTGTTCCACACCAGCTCCCTTTTTGAAGTGACCAGGACATTGTTGACTTTGGACATTTTCTCTCTTTGAAAGTCACAGTAGGCCTCAAAGTTACATCCCTAACCTGTTTCCTCCTTGATTAGCTGTTCAGTTTGGATGGACAGCCTGATTTAGGCAGTATTTGAGCGTCTTCCTCTTCTTAATAATAAACTCAACATGATTTATTAAGGGACTTTGAAAAGTATGCATACCCTTCTCCTGAGCTGTGCCTTTATACAACTTTATCCTTCAGTTTGTTTGAAAGCTCTGGTCTTCATGGTTGGATCTTTGCTTTAAATTCACTACCTGACTGAAGGAACTTATAGAAACCGAAATATTCATTCTGATATAATGTAAACCACCATTACTGAACATGAACATACTGTAGGTTTACCAAAGTAGAGGGTTAGAATACTTATGTAATAATGAGATTTCCCTTTTCTTCATATTAATTATCTACTTTTTTCTTTTTAGATTACCTATGTGGAGTAGTGGTTTATAAAACACTTTCTGCTTCTTCAAAGTGTCATGACTACAGTCTTTAAAGCAACAAAATGTGAAAACTGTGCAAGGGTTTTCAAGGTACTGTATAGTACGTGTATGTCGTAGTTACGTCTGCCTTTCCTAGAGTGACTTTTTAAATCAAAGCTAAATTGCATACATTAATTTTTTGTTTAATTAGAACTTTCTGTTTGGCATTAATTCCACTCATTACTCCAGACTTCTGTTTCTAACATTTATGAGTATTGAGTGTACACCATCTATCAAAAAGACTTTCTGTTCTACTGCAGATGAGGATGTATTTCTCAAAAGGCAATTATTGATAAGAGTTTGTGTACAGAATCAAAAGTGGTGGTTAAGTAGAATTTTATTGCCCTTTTTCTTTCTTTTCTTACACCAAAATGTCACAGTCCAGCTAAGACTGAATATGAACACATTAGCAGAAGTGTTACATAACAAAATATCGTTTTACTTGACACGAAACAAATGGAAATTACAAAGCTGTGCATTACAACTAGTACTGTTCAGCTAGAAATGGAACTCATCACTCTCCTTACACAGTGCATATAACGTCCCCATTGTACTGAATCAAGTGACCCACCTCTCCTCACGTTTTGAATTGAAACAAGTCTTAAGAAGTATTCTGAATAATTCTTACTTGCTTCACCTGGCCTTCACTTTTCACTTCTGATCCAACCTCAACATATCTCCAGCTGTACGGATGCTTGCCTATGTATGCACGGATACAGCAGTACACTTAATATTGTATAGCCCATCCTTTTTCTAACCACGTCTTTCAATTCAGGGTTGTGGTGGAGCCGGGGCCTATTCTGTGAAGCAAAGGGCACAAGGCAGGGTGCACCCTGGACAGGACACCAGTCCATCACAGGGCAAACACACACAATCACACTCACACTCAGACAAGGGCCAATTTTCCCAGAAGCCAGTTAACCTACCAGTAATGTCTTTGGAAGAAACCCACATGGGGAGAAAACATAAACTCCACACAGACAGGTCTCCCAGATCCCAGGTCCAGAATTGAACCCAGGGCCCCAACACTGCGAGGCAGCAATGCTAAACACTGAGATACTGTGGCATCCTTGTATTCTAGTCACATACTGTATTTTTAATCATGATGTTGTCTAAACAGGTGGCCAACTGTAAGAAACCCCACTTAGAGAATTCTGGTCACAGTCAGCTAGTGACATGAGCCAAGCAAAAACTTGCAAGAAAATATTCAGTTTAATTATTTTTGTTGTAGTACTTTAGTGTACAGTATGTAATTGTATTTATCACAGTCTTTTATTCCCTTGGTACATAGTGTGTAAATGTGCTGCATCACAACTTATGGCAAAATGTAATGTAATGGCATCTACTGTACCAATCAAACCATGAAAACAGGAACTAAAAGAGCACAACAGATGCTAAAGTCTGGGAAACAGTAACTTCAGGGAAGTACTGCAGTGAGATCATGGAAGCAGAACATTATTTCATAAAATATTAAAGTATACAAATTTAAGAAAATAAAAGCTTTTTTTCTCTTTCAGCTATGAAAGTAGAAATGTCAGATTGAGACAGATCTGTCACATTTCTACATGCAAGGTCTCTGTAAGCACTAGAAGTCCATCTACTGTATAGACACCATTATCCATAATTATCCACTGTTAAAGAATTCTGGAGCCAGAGATACCTGAAGTTATTTCTTTCAGGGCTCCACTGATTTCAACCACAGAGCTGCTGCCCTTCATGTCAGCGGATCTGCAGAAGGATCTTCTTCTGACAGTGCTTTGTGACTAACTAATGGTGCAGTAAACTCTAACACAGCAGGAGCAGCAGCTGTAGTAGATGTGGCAATCAAATCCGGCTTATACTGGGAAGGCTGCCTCTTGCATTTCATTCACCTTTACTTTTCGCTTGCACTCTAAGCAGAGTACTATAATAATACAAATCATAATCTCACCTATTTGCCAGTCCCATGGTACCTTTAACAATTCCTTATGTTCCATTATAGCTCTGTAATGGAAAAAGAAAATAAATATCAGACACAGAATAGAAGGACAATCCTTGATGACAGGAAAAAAATGAAAGGACCAACAGCTTGTGGCAAACCTGAGGCTTCTGCTGCTGTAGGACAACACATCCACAATACAATAATGACAGAAAGGCACATTCAGACCTGCATGTGCAATTATTCGAACCCCAATTACACAATAAATTGGGATTTATTGATTGGCTTTCTCACATTCACACACACGCAGAGCAACTCGAGGCCATGTGGAAAAGCTCTTCATCACACATAATGTTAATTCATAGAACCTCAGTTCAGCTCCAGCTAATAAAGGCTCTGCAAATGTGGATATCCACTCAGACTGACGCATTGGAGAGACCAGAAGTCAGAGTCAGAGCCACCTGCACCTGAGGAGGGCCTGTGGCTCCACTTCCTATCTCCCCTACAGCGCGGTGCTGTCACTCCCCATTCCGTCATACTTACATAACAGGGCTTACATTTTTAAATCAATTAATCTACAAATCAGTGCTTACCATGAATCTCTTTGCCTCATACAGCAATACTTTGAATTCTCACAACCAAATTTGTTGAGTGTGATTTTTTTTTTAAATGTACAGGATTTCTGGATGCTCTGGTAAACCCGTGTTCTACGGGGAACTTACTGTAAAAGACTGCAGCATTTTAACAAGTAGTGTTTAATGGAAGAACCTCACAATTAACACAAGCCCTCATTCTGACAAGCAGAGCCCAGAGGTCACTCCCACCTCCTTTCCTCCTCCTCCCCATGACTCCCAGTCCTCCTCCTGAAAGGCTGCCAGTTGCGGTCGGCTGCTACCAAGCAGCAATGGGCTACGAACCACAGGCTGCTGGTGACCACAGGCTGGTTGCCAGGCGGCGGGAGTGATGGATGGAGGCCAAGAAGCGCTGGTTGTCTCAGAACACTTCGATATTCTAGTCTTCAGTGTGATTCTACTCTAAATCTCAATATACAGATGGATATAAACCTATACTGGGAAACATTTTCACTGCAGGAACCAGACTTAAAATAAAAGTTATTGGCTCAGCTGTATGTTATCATCTAGGTGTCTATGTCTATTCATGGATTTTCATGTTTATTTAGTGCTTTAAGATGTACTTTATCTATTTGTGCCATCAGTCTAATGCAGGTAAAACAGAGTTAATTACCTCTTTACAAATGTTTGCTGAAGTTACTTGTGGATGAGCTTCATGTTATATCACACTGCAGTGATCATTTACAAATAGTCATAGAACACAAATCTTAAAATTAAGAAAGCAAGTGCATTAAACCTGTCATTATTCTTTATTTCCTGTTCAATATTTGCTTTAAATATTATTTTTGCTCTTTAATCCATGTAACATAGACAGTAGTTAACAATACAGAAAATAAAGTATTAAAACACCAAAATTAATATCTAGTATGTACTGAGGTCCACAGAAGGACACCAGTTTATATGAAAAAATATGCATAGTGCTGCTATTGACAGAGATGCATCTGATCATTTTCACTCTATTTTACCTGGAGTTCGGGTCAGTTTCTGGCATATTTTATGTTGCAAATAGGAATATTGGGATACCTTTTTCTACTAACAGTTACATTTATGTATACTAAAAAAGGAATATCCAATCCAAACATTCTTGTTATTCTAATGTCTTATTAATAAAAATGTTTCAATAAACATTCAATTAATTAGCTTTATTACTTCAAAATCCTCCAGCCTAAATGTCTACAGTATTAGTTCACCCACTTCTACTTCATAAGGACTCTCTCAAGTCTTCAAACCTAACGTGACAGAAAGGAACTATTTTGTTCTCCCTGGGAAAGTGTTTAAAAAATCTGAAACGTACGTTTGTGTCACACAATCACGCAGCAGGTATGAATCTATCTCGCTGCCTGTCAATACAGTAGACTTTGTGTTTGCGGTTGTTAGGCTCCTGACATACACGTCTATACCCCAAGTCATATACTGTATAATCATAACAGCGCGTTAGACCCTCCTATTCCCCTACCTTAAACAAGTGAAATCAATCTTACTGTAGGTGTATTATTAGTATGCATAGTACAGTATGGAGTTTAAATCCGTAACCAGTTCCCAAAGCGTAGCTCAGGTGCAGCATTATTTTAATTTTCATTTACAGTGTAACTGTATATTTGTATATAAAAGTATTTGCATACAGGTATATATATATTTTACCGATCGCGTATACACGAATTCGCGTAGAAATATTTGGCGACTTCGGTATATCTAAATGTCTATGTGTTTCTCAATGTGCTTAGGCAAACTGGTGTACCTTCAGACAATGAACGGGTGTGTCGGAGAACAAGTCTAACGTGAGGAAAATTAAATATATATTTAATAATAATTAAGCATTAAGGAAGGAGTTGTTTAGCTTTGTGTGCAAACCCAGTTGTCAGGCTGTACGTTTGGGGTACGAACTGCGTGTGGTAAGATTTTTTAAATTGTACAGAGAAAACAAAAACAGAAAACGTCCAAGAGCGACTATGCAAAATCGTCGTGTTTCGGTGTCAGAAAAGAAGACTGCATTTCCGGGCAAACAGATTCAACAGCGAAACCACTGCAGAATATTAATAATACTGTACGTGCTGGGGTCGATGAGGCGTCTGTGTGGGGAGTCGGGGGTTGCCACAAAAATGCCGTGTATCAGTGAATCAGTGAATCAGTGCATCAGCCGTGGACTGGAAAAAGCTGGTTTAATTAATATGATTTAGGAATAAAGCAGCAAATATACAGATACTAAATCAACAGTTTTGTCAGTGTCAGACTGACCGAGAAGATGATGATTGTTTTTCTTTTAATAAATTCACGCTGATTCAAAGAATCTTAACAAAACACATACCAATTGAAGTCCATGCCTGTTCAAATTCGTATCTTGGAGACAGAAAAGCCACCGCGATTTTGCCATTCATTCTTCAGCCTTTCTTGTCACAAATCAACATATCTTTATTATAATACAGGTTTTGGTTAAATATGTTACTACTTTAAAATAGGTTTATTATTAATATACAGACATAATTATAATTGAAAACTATATTTAATCATGTAATGATTATTTTAATTAGTTTAGTTTTAAAGTTTAGAATTTAATACAAAGTTTGCAAAAAACATTGAACTTTTTCTACATATAGTCATAATATCTGCAATTAAAGAGCAATATCTTACACTTACATTTTTTCCACAATAGTTTAGAAGCATTACTGGATATATATTTCATGTTTTAAAGTCAATATAATAATCATACATATAAATATATTCTAAATTTAGATTAATTCTCCAAACAAAAATGAAAAAAATATGGAAACGATTTTCAATTAAAAATAAAATGTAATATTAATGTAATATTCAAGGTAGGATAAGCTGATTGGTATTTTTTAAAAATCTGATTATATAATTATATTGTTTTATTAATACTTGCATTAGAGGAACAATGTTGAAAAAAGAATGAGAAAAAAAGATTCCTGTGGGAGCTAGCACCAAAGAAACACAGCTCCTTTAATAGAACCAAATAAAAGCATTACCAATTAGTTTCTAATGAAAATGAAAATTGTTCTTCAGGTTACAATAATGTTTTCAGCAATTGAGAAATAGACCTTGCCCTCAGGGATGCATTTTTAGCAATTTCTGAACACCAAGCAAGAGATCAAGCAAACACTGCTGCAGTCTCTGTTATGTCTATACAACTACACAGCTCATAACATTTTACAGGAAATCCTTGATATGTTTCACAAATTGCAAACTGCAGGCCAACTGCTTCATAGGGATTTAGTGTGCAATTTTGGACCCAATGCAAAACCACCATCATGTACTGGGTTGGAAATGCCAAGTGGGTTCAGGTTAATGTTAATTTTAAACTTGTTTGCATATTCAATAAAAGTATCCTGATTACTGTTTTATAATGAAATGTCCTTAATACATAGAACTGCCTTAATGCACCAACACTTGAAGGTAGCATGGGAGTTTTGCTTCTGGAAATCAAGGATCTCCACTTCTAAATCCTATAAGGGATTATGGAGGAAGCATCCATATCTGAATCACCTTTATTTGCAGGTTCATTTCATGTACAAAGAATTTACTCTGGTTACTTTGTGCTGTAGAAACATAAACAGTACATATACAGGAACATGCACGAACATATACATATGCCATACACAAACAAGACTAATATACATCATTGCTAAGACAGTGCATACTGTATAACTAGGAATTATGGTCCTAGTTGGAAGTCAAAACAAGCCCTGGGAAAGAGCTGTTTAAATACCCGCAGGTTCTGGTTTTAATAACATTTCCCTGAGTGATGTTTATGAAACAGGTGGTAACTTGGGTGGGAGGGGTCATCAGCAATCTTTCCTGCTTCTTTGCTCTGGAATTGTACAAATCATCAAAGGAGGGCAGATGACAGCCAATGACCCTCTCCTCAGAGCGAGCAACACACAGCAGCTTGCCAAACAGTTATAGAGGCAGTCAGAATGCTCTCCATAATGGCTCTGTAAAACTGTATCAGAATTGGTTGAGAGAAACCAAAGGTTTTCAGCTGGAACAAAACGCATATTCTCTGCTGTGCTTTCTTTGTGATGCTAAGTTATGGTTATATTAATGTCATGTTTAAAATTAGTAGAGGCATGCTGGCTCATGTATTACAGAGAATGTTGCTGTGATTCAGAGAAAGCAAAGCTAAATTATTTTCCACTCATGAGGATATTACATAATCCTGAAGTTTGATTCTGTCAGTAATTTATTTTTTCTGGAACAATAAATACAGATACTTACAGTTGTATACCACTGAAAAAGGACCCAAAGAGGCCGATCATTCCAAGAAACTCTACCCGGCTGAGGTTCTTTACAATGAACTCCTCACAGACATTGGAGATGCCATACAGCGTGGCTCCAGCTAGCACTAGCAGGTCCCCCAGGAGCTTATGATCCCCTGTATCAATGTAGAGACAAACACTGTTAATACTATTATATACATCTGAATAAACAATAACGAAGCATCCTCATTCATTCAAACTGCTTAGGAGATACAGTATGAAAATGTTAAAAAAGAAATCTGTAAACATATGAAGTGAATGGGATGTGATTTTAAAGCACACTCCAGATTAATTTATGACATTCTTACAGAGAAAGATCTCTCCACGATTTCTTTAAAATGAAAAGAAAACCATCATATTCCACTCCCACAAATGCTTTAGGTTTTATGCATACTGTATATTTGGAAATGACAAGCACATTTGTAAAATTAAATTGTACAAAAAGAGCTATTACTGACCCCTGATTTATCAGTTATTTAGACCACTTAGAGTATTACCAGCATAATACAAATTAGTATTGTTTCTTACTAAAAAATTCATTTTTACAAAAAGCAATACCAACTCTTTTGTGAATTTTGTTATTATTATTTTTTTAAATGCCAGGTATCTGGCTTTCATTTGTCTAAACTATTTTTCTCAGGTATATAATTTCCATACAGTACGTTTGGATTCTCCAGCAGGACGTAACTGGTAAAGCAGTCCAACATAATAATAAATATCTTTAATCTTCCCAGCTATGTTGTCACTGTCCAACTACAAGTTCACAAAACTATATCTCCCAAAACTATCATAATTGCTGTACTAATCATGCCACAAGAAACAAAATCTGAACCCTTGGGGGAGCTAATGGGTAATGTTACTTCCACTGCTAAATATATCAAGTAAAATCAATCAAAACATGTAACTAATCTTGTTATTCAAACTAAAACACAATAAAAATACGAAAAGGTACACCGTTATCTGGCAAGTTTTTAAAAGACACTAATTGTAACATAAAAAAAAATCTTTGCTTGACCTATTTTTAAATGAAAGCAGTTTTCAAAAACAGATTTATCTTAATTTATGTACCAAAATTAAACAATGTCAAATAAATTTAGCAGATGAAAAACTGATGAGTACGTATTTTTGCAATGGTGAGAATGGTTGGATGTTCAATACACATCCTGACGTCAAGGGGATTTTCTTTGCCATAACACATTCTGTGGTTAAGAAAGTTAACAAGCAACATGTCAAATTATATTACAAGACAAACATGCTATATCTCTTTTTAGTAACGCTAGCATGCTGTTTACGCACTAATAGTACAAAAACATTCAAGAAGATATTACCTACTATTCAAGTTTCTTTAAGATGACTGACTTATTTAGTTTAAACTTTAAACGGTAATCAATTTGAATATTAAATCGTATGTATGCATATGTGTATGTGAGTTGAAGGAATAAAAAAAATAAATGTCTTGCAATAAGTGATACCTTTAACTGAAAAACACCAGAACCTCTACAAACATGTTTATACATAATCACATCAATTTAGATTCCTTTAAAAATTCAGATGATAAAACATTTAAAAATACATTGAGAAGAATTATGAACTACTCATAGTGTCCCTGTTTGATTGCTTTTTTCTTTTTGTTCCTAACTCAGTGTTCAGCAAGTTTAACCTTTATATAGCATCACACTAATTACATATACCTTGACTTTCATTTGATTGAGCAAATTCACTTTCACATCATTGACAACTACTTCTGCTATTTAAAGGTGGATTTTCAGAGGCTTAAAAAGCAAGGAATTTGATACACCGGATACTCAGATTTCAAGAAGTATCTTTTTTAATGCAATATAAGGGCACATGCAGATACAGTATATTCTCTGATGGGCTGTGCTCTGACCGCTACTGTACATCACAATGATCACTTACCTAAGCCCTGCTGTCTTCCCACTAGCACATCTGCTCCCACCATGCAGCCCATCCCCAGCAGGCATACTCCAACGCCAATGAAGTGTACAGCCTTGTACCTCACCAGCAGGAAGAACCAGGACAGTAATAGCACCACTGGGATAACAAAACAGTCTAAGAGCTGCAATACAGAAGAAACCAGCAATTAATAGCCACTGCTTCTGTGGCACCGACCAGAGCACTTCACCATACAATATGAGGAAAAGCATATACAAAGCTGTGTTTTATTGCTACCATGGCATACACAAAGTCCTCTTGGGCAGGTTTGAAACTCCTAAGCATGTACAGTAGTGTAACAGGTATTTAAGAATCTCTCTCTGAAACTAAAGATGGTCTTGAGTACATAAATCTAAATAAAAGCAACATTTAATGCACTTAAATTATGAAAATGATTATTCATTATAACGAATCAAAGAATGAAATACCTGTGTGTCTACTATGTGAAAAATATCTTAACTAATGATAAAAGTCTGCTTTTTTAATGATGCTGTATGCTTTTTGATGTTGCTTTGTTGGACTGGAGTTACACTTGACCAAAGGAAGGGTATTAAAAGAAAAAATATTCTGCCAGTATGCTTTGAAGATTTGAAGGAAAGAAATCCATAATATAATAATTATTAATACTGTAAGATAAAAATGCTGAGTCCATTTTGAAATTGTGAAGCTCAATTTCACACTCATTCTCTCCTCTGTGAATAAATGAAGACAACAGAGGTGCAGTCAGACAGCTCTGAAAACTGTCACTATCCATACTGTACCATGAAATAATGTTGTGTTGTGGATTGGGTGCTGTTATAATATTGTTACTTGTGCCAGTAGCCAAACATACACTAGAGGAAGTGAAGAAATACACTAAAATTTTCTGTTCATAACATTATTGTTTTTTCCACTTCAAGGAAAAAGAGCTGGTTAGTCATGGTGTCATATTAATAACAAGTCTGTCCTTGAAACAGCACATTATGGTGTTAAAGCCAAGTGTAATACAACTCTATGAAACTGGGAATGAACAGACATATGACACAGTGATAAACCACAGTACAGGCAATGGTGTAAATGTGTTAAAATACAAGTGTATAATATCATTTTACATTTACTGAATGTTTTCATAAGATTGTACCTTCCAGATTCAGGGCAAAATGCTCCCAGAAAAAAAAATAAAGTTAATTAATCTATAAAGTAAAAAAACAATACATTCTATTTTATTCTTACAAAAGGCTAAATACAGTACATCAACTTCTACTTCAGTATTGAAACAGACTACCCAACTCTTGAATGCACAAGTTTATTGAATGATGAACCTTAATGTTAACAGATAACAGAAACACCCCTTTCAGCAGAAAATAATAACGTAATGCTCATCTCTGCTTAGATTGGACGCATAACACTATGATGATTCTGTTATGACAGGTATCAGAATTTAAGATTTAAAGCCAAATGTTATGGTCACTTAATTATCTCTCAGCAATTTGAAAATATTAAAATGTGTGATTTATGTGTTTAACTGATATTAGCTAGACAAATAATTTTCCGAACTCATTTGAGATTAAATTAAACATTTAAAGCAGTTCTTAAATCCTATCCCCTAAAATGTTGGAGAACACTTGCGAAAGTTTGTCTTCAAAACACACTTCCTTATACTATTAACCAGGTGTAAAGGGACAAGAACTTCTTCAAGACAAACAATACAAATTTGGCTTAGAGGCTTACAGAAAGTCATCGCACACTCTGAAAGGGCAGCAGGACCAGACAAGATGAAAGCTTTACTGATCTGCATTCTCTTGACAGCTGTGGGGAATGACCTGTCTCCCTCAGTCACTTGATCAATTGTTCAGGTGAATGTTTAAAAACCAGGAAGCAGAGGTTTTTCAGAGTTGGTCAATATGGGAAGGCAGCTCCTTTGTTGAGCAAACCTCACCAGAAGGAGGGAGGCAGAAGAAAGAAAGAAGCGACTGAGTTTGGAGATTTGAGATTTTTAGAGGAGCCCCAGAGATTTTCTTATGAGCTAGTAAGTATCTCAGCTGCCTGGGTACTGATGGTGATGGACAAATCTATTCAGTAGCTTGAAAAAGTTGTGTGGTGTTGGTTTATTTCTCTTCATGCTGTAAACAAAAGAGCACTGTTTCCCTTGTATGTCATTTTTATACCGATCTGCCTATAAACAATCCTGTTTTAACCTCTGTTTCAGGGTGTGTTACACACCCTTTTTGGTACTTACTGCTCCTACAAAAACATAAAAGTTTACATGCCTTTTACATTTTTCTAGAATAAATCTACATATTTCATATTTCTAAGCACTTATAGGACAGGAACATTGGTAGTATGGGTTAATCTCAGGGTCTTTCAACCAGAAGATGACGGTTTTTGCCTTCAAGAACATCTGAAATTACTGCTATAATGTTTAAAGTTTCTTTTTATTCCTTGATGATACACACAATTGTTTGTGTTCTGTCAACATTCCTGAAAAATGCTGCAGAAATCAAAAACACATATATTAACAATGTCCCAGAGCAATACATGTCAATGGGTTGTGTTCCAGTGCACTCCCAATCAGAGAGTTGAGCTCTCTGACAAAAACAATTATGCAAATTTTTGTGTGGGCTAAAATTTATTTTGCAACACTGTGTCTGTTAATGTTTATCCATTTAACGTAAGCTGTGAAGTGAAGGTTGTTGGTCGTGGTAGGCATTGAACAGGGTGGAATAAGCAGGAGTAATGATCCCACTGGTGCATCTGCAGTCCACAGCTGTCTGAAGTTCTCTCATGACGCCTTCTCAATGCCATTTATTAAATGTCTCATATGTATGACCATAAATCAGTTTCTCCTTATTTAGTTAGCCGATTATTAATCGTAAGCTGTTTTATTTAATAGTTTATTGAATTTTAAGGTAGGAAAATATTATCCTCATTGTTTTAAAAATAACTTTAAATGAAATATGTTTTATATATTAATTATTTGCATTGTATTCAGTTTTAACATTATTTCCACACAGTAACTCACCTTATTTAAGGGTGTATAAAGAAATAAAATATTTATTTTATTTTTCGTTTTATAGAAACTACACATACAGTGCAGCTCACAGCAAAGAGATTTTATAATTGATTTATTAGTGTGAGACAATGGGACAGGAATGGTGGCTGGACGAACCCTGAGATGCAGATTTCCCAGCGACACTGTTCACTCTGGAGTGTGGCTCCATTTGAGACAATTCACACAGCACATATTGTCTCAAATGCTTCATCTGCATGCCTCTTGCTGAATGTGCCCAAGTGCTACAGCAATAACTAATAACTTCCTGTATTAGTACATATTCTTGAGGCACGTCAAACCAAAAAGGCACTAATTAAGAGTGCAGAAATTTAGAATTAACTGTTCACGCTTTCAAAAGGGTTACATACAACTTCAAATCTGTTATGTCCTTTGACTTTTATCTAAACAATTTTATTAGCCTTTTTATACACTCTTAGTGTGTAGCATGGACGATTACCATGCTCTGAAACACTCCCTCTCTCATGCACTCACTTACTGACTCACACTGTGAGCCCTACACTGTCCACAGCTTAGTCCTCATGAGGGAATAAGTAATGTGTCTCTCACCAGAAACTGCACTGCCCACTAAGTGTATCCTGACTGACCACAGTAGTGCTCAGCCAAATGTTTGCCAAAGCCTGAACAAGTCTAATTGCAGTCAAGTTTATGGCACGGCCAATCCATGAACCAGAAATTACCGGACAATAGGGGCATGAAGTTAAAGACAGCTTTTGTTATCTTCCTTAGTGTCAATTCAAGAATTTCAAGAAGAAATAATGCACAAATAAGATTTCACAGGTCTTAAAGAAACAGCTTTAGTGAATTAATTAACAATAGGATTGGGGCTAACAATAGCAAAGTGTGCTAAGTGTGCTGTTTTATTGTGCTAAAAGAAGTAGTTGGTAATATTAACTGCATCTACAACGTTCTGTCACATTCTGTAAACATCTCCAAAATGCAGGGTTCTGTAGAATATGTGATGTTGCTAAGCAACAACACATCACCCATTTAGAAACCAGAGGGATTTGGTGACTGAGTTCACAGTACTTTTTCTGAAGTCCCCAGTGAATATTAAGGTGAAACTATGCTAGACTCCAGAAAAGGATAGTATGACAAAACATTACATAAGCACAGCCAAAGAACTGTGCTATTAGTAGACACAAGCTCTCCTTTTAAATCTACTGTAAGGACAAGTATTCTGACTTCCTCAACCCAAATGCTCAAGATACTCATGATGGTACTCTATTTTTTTTCATAAAAAAGCAAACAAAATCACACTCCTATTTCTGATAGAAAAGTAGAAATAGAAATTTTCTTGGTCTCCCAGAAGACAAATATTCCTATTAAATAAATCAGGAAGTTGTCCAATGACCCCTCTTCATTATTCCTTTAACTATATCCTGACAAAGAGTCTTGCCAGAGCCATAAACTGTCCATCAATAAAAAATGGACATGCAGTTATATCACACTGGCTCATTGGCACATTTGCTCATTGGCCATTGTGGATTTTAGATAAAAACAGCAAACATTGGGTCAAACCTTTTCCCGCATTCCTTCCAAAAACCTCTAGTTTTAGTTCTTATTCTATTCTACAGCTGCATATATTCTAAAGGTGTTAAATGTAAGTGGCTGCAAACAAAACTGTTGTTTCAAGAGTTACAGAATCTGCTATTTGAACCGAAAGTAACAGAAGGTAATGTGCTTACTGATCTATTGTTTCTGTGATTGCATTTATTTCGGCACCAAAATCAGATTATAATACTGTGAGTTCACTGCTGAAATTTCCAGTGACACCAAATGATCTGAGAAGCACCTGATTAAACTAGACCCTTGCATTCCAGCTACGTTCAATCAAGATGAAGGATGGTAGAAGGTTTTCATCAAGAACGCATTTAGAAGAGTGTTTGTAACCTTTCTGTGGAAACCACTACAAGAAATACAATCCCGTCCTCATTTAAGATAGATTCATGTATGATTACTTATTTCTTATTCTGTTGTTATTAAAGGCTTAATGTTCTAATTAGTGATTGGTATTTGTTAAAACCTTAGTAATACATTTATCAACTACAAATCCGCTCTCTCTTGTATTCTGA